CATGAAGTGCCAAATACAAACTCATAATAAATCATTATACAGTTCCTCTAGTTGCTAAGGGTTACATTCAAACCGCTAGATTTAATTATCATGAAACATCCACTCTAGTTGTGACTTTAAGATGTCTTCTTGCATTTCTCAACGGAAGTACACACTTGATGATCTAGATAATATATGCCTTTTGGGTGTTTCGTAGCTCCTTTTCCCATGGAGCACAATCTGAAATTGTCTTGATAATGGAGAACATCTTTAGTATCCCACTCTATGTTGTTGCCTCATTGGCCATCTTATTTATCTTACCATCACACTATTAAATATTTTCCATTTTATCCATATTCTCAATCAATTCATGCAACAATCACACAAACCTCATCTAGATGCTGCCATGTGTATTCTTTTCTATCTTAAGAGTTCTCTAGGCCAGGGACTTCCTATATGCTCTACATGTACTCTTGAATTGAAAGCATTTTTCTAAATCTAATTGGGCTATTGTCCACTTACTTCGTGATCTACTACAAGGTATCACAATTTCTTGGATACTTCTCCTATTTCAAGGAAAGTGAAAAAACAACACACAAGTTCTCATTTTCTAGAAAAATCATAACATTCTTCTCTTTTCACATTGTCATCATCCTACTTTTTCATAAACAAACCAAGCACATTGAGCTCAATTATTATTTTGTCCGAGACAAAATCCAATCAGGCATTCGTTGTATCATTACCTTGCAATTGCATGGCAGGTGGCTGACCTTTTTTATCAAACCACTTGGGAAAACTTTTGCCCAGGTAGTTGGGAATTTGCCGCCTTGACTCTCCACTTTAAATGGGAGTAACATGAAGTTTTGATAATTTCATTCTGTTAAAATATAGAATCTGTTACAGCTATAAAATCATATTTCTGTACAATAATAAAATCCCTTAGTATAGGAAACTGTTATGTTTAAGGCACCATCTATGGCTTTATAGCTTTCTGTAAGGTAAAATACATGGTGACATAAATGTAATTTGTATATACGTGTTGTATCTCCATAATGCAATGATATGCAATCCTCGCCAAAAAATTTCCCATATCTATTTGAACCACACATGACTTGAATCCAACTTGTTTACATAATTGGCTCAAAGTTCTAGTCAAATTGGATTTATTTTTTCATTTGACGAAGCCTGAATGAGCTAAAACCAAATCGAGCTTGGATTAATTGGATCATTCAACAACCCTACTTTACTCTTCCTTCACAATAAGAGACACAGTGTGAAGAAAGCCTTATTTCTAAAATTTTTGTCAATTGGAATTGACTACAAATGTGACAACTAGAATGTTCGAATTGTGATCAGAAGCAAAATGGAACACATGAGGAGGACTACAAAGAGCTAGACTGTAACACCCCGTATTTTTTTTTATATATGTATATAGATATATAGTAAATAATTGTGGTAAAAATGTGGATATGTGTAGGGATGTGTGTTTGAATTTGGTTGATTGGAAAAGTAGAGATTTAAAATGTTAGTGAAAATAATAGTTGAAATTTGATTTTAATAAGTGAAAATATGAAATTTTAGGTCCTAGAACTTGTATTAAATAGGTTTGGTGTAGAAATATGTGTTGGATAGGTTTGGGATGGATTTGGTTGGCTTAGGAATGGATTGGAAATGGAAAAGGGATGAAATAGGACGTGAACAATGAACTAGCTGCAACTTCAACCGCAATTTCGACATTGATTCAGTCAATATCTCTCAAAACTCAAAACATGAAAGTTGTATATCTCTTTCTTAGAATTCCATAGCATCTTGAATCATCTCAATCGGAGCTCGGATGAGAGAGTTATGCCCAAATAACGAAGTGATGTCAAAACAACCCAATTAGCTTGAACAGTGCACTGACTGCAACTTCAAGCCCGATTTAGACTTTGATGCAGTCAATATCTCTCAAAACATGAGTTTTAGAGCTCTTTCTTATCATTTCATAGCATCTTGAATCATCTCAATCGGAGCTCGGCTGAGAGAGTTATGCCCAGATAACGAAGCGATGTCAAAACAGTCCAATTAGCTTCGTTTTGTATTTAACGTCTCCATTTGCATCCTAAATCAAAATCTAAGAATAATTAGTACATTCAGGCTTCAAATAAGTATAAAAGGCTTAAAGAAGCACCATTTATCACCTTTTATTTGCAAACAACGTAAAACTTCATTAATAGCCGATTCGGATGGGTAAAATAGAAACTTTAGTGTTTCGGGTGTACGTTGACTTTGATTTTGAGATAAATCATAAACATAAATTTTTTTAGGTTAAAATAACATTAAAAATGAATCTGAAACGTCGAAAAACCTTAGGGTAGTCATATGGATCAAATTGGAGATTCTTAGTGGTAAAATCGTAATTTTAGAAAAAACCAAAACAGACTGTGAACAGTGAATTTCGGGGCTGAAGTGTTTTAAACCTCATTTTCATCCCATTTTCTGTCATTTCTTTCAGTCCACTCTCACCCCACACCTCTTAGAACCCTAGAGAGCATTAGAGAGGAAGAAAGGAAGGGAAAAATAAGAGATTTAAGGGTAGATTCAAGATCAAAGCTCAAGTTCTTCCTACAAACTAAGGATTCAAGGTAGGGGTTTTCTATCATTCACTTACATCGAGGCTAGGGTATTTATATATGTATGTTTTAGCTATCAATGATATATATATATGTTATGTAATCATCCTCTCTTAGGCTTTTTGCAAGAATTACATGTTTTGAACAAAGTAGAGTTTAATACCCATGAAATTTTCTTTCTAGTTTTAAAACCCTAACTTTTGGAGAGTAATATATTTTCTTCCTAAATGTTTTCTTTATTATAGATTTCGAAACCTTAGTGCTTTGTGTTGGGTAGAAAAATGATGGTATTGTGATCTCATGTATTTTCTTAGTTGGTTGTAGAATTGTTACATGATATATTTTGGAGATTTTGGATAAATGCTTGTAAATTAAGATAAATGTTGGAATTGTATACTTGGTTGGGTTGTTTGCGATGCACATGAGTGAGAGGTTCCTTGTAAGAATGCTCACCCCCTTTCAAGAGGTTCCCGGTAAGGATGCTTGGGAAACAATGTAGTGATTTGTGAGAGGTTTCATGTAAGGATGTTCATCTATTCTCAAGAGATTCTCGGTAAAGATGCTTGAGAATCAAAGGTGATCTAAAGGGGGGTGGAGGTTACCACAAAGTATGCCACCTACCAAAAGAATTGTTGAGAATTGGTTATGGTAATCAATGATTATTATTTGTGTGTGGTGCTCGTTTATTCATTTAAGTAATATTTTTACATAAATTTGAGATCCTTTTTAAATGTCACTGCTTTATTTCAAATTATGTATCTATGTTATGTTAAAATTGAAACCGATCGTTTAAAATACTTTTATAAACCTTGTATGAGTTTGAGAGAATTTTTCTACAGAACTTCGTGCTCACCCCCTATCGCTAACATTTTTCAGATTACCCGCTTGAGGAGGAGGACGTAAGGGTCGAAGAGCCCGCTACTTGGGAGACTCCACTGGACGGGAGTGTGGATCCCGGTGGACGTATAGAGCGACCTCCTTTCCTTTTGTACTAGACTAGGACATTCTTTTAGAACATTGTGTAATCTAGCTTCTTTTGTTTATTCCGCTGCGCTTCTTTAATTAATTTTTGAGATGTAGTAGACATAACTTGAGTTTATTCTTTTGAATAATGTTATAAATATTCGTGGATGACAAATGAAGTCTTGTTTTTTAAGGAATTATATTAGTGCTCTCATAACATGAATGACTTTATAATGTAATGTCGTCCAGGGTGTGTTTTGGGGTGTTACATAAACCAAGAAAGGGGAGACACCATAGTGAGTGTGTAGGTGTTCAATTTGGGCGTGAGGTTCAAACTACAAGGATGGTTGTGTTCGAGTGAAGAAAATTGGGTCAAAACAAATATTCGGACGAACCATGGTTAGAGCGCTTCTAGCAAGTTAAGGGGTTATGGGTTAACTTGGTAGAATTAATCAGAGGTCGGGTAGGGCTCCAATAAATTAATTAGTATTTTTCTATTTATTTATTGAATGTGTTTGAATTTTTATAAATTTTCAAAATTGGACAATTTGGTGAAATTACTAAATTGCCCTCTAAGCACCTCTCTTCGAGGAAGCTAGAGGTGGTAGCCGGTGGTGCAAGGGACTCATGCAAGCCTCCAGCGTGCAAGTTTTTGAAAATATTTGTGGATAGGGATATAATAGGGAGAGGATAAGAATGGAGGAGAGAGAAAAAGAAAAAATAGATGTTAGAGAAAATTTTTGGGTTTTTGCTACAATGAGATTCAAATAACTAGAGCTATGTCTAACTCTTCATTTTGGTCTTCTGAATTCGTGAGTAAGCTTTGATTTTGATTTGGTATGGTATGGTGTTTCGGATTTGTGTTTAAAGCATGTGGTGGGTTTGGATTTCTTAACCGAGTTTCATACAAGCTTTCTTTCGCTCTAATTAAACTTTGTAGTCGTGTTACTGGGTGGATTTTTCTTATTTGAAAGTGACTAGGAGGTCGGCCGAGGTCGATGGACGTAGAGTAAGAAACTAAGGTTTGAAAATAAACTTGAAATTTGATTCTCTTAAATTCATGTTTAAGTTTTAAAGTGGGTCATGTTCCCAACTAATTTGGACCCAAGGAGTTCATTTTAGTCCTTGGATTCAAGTTTAGAGGTCATTTTAAGGGTTAAAAGCTCAGTTGCAAGTTTGGTTTGATTTTGGAAAACAAGGTTTTAATCAACGTTGGCCTTGAATTGGTAAAGGTAGAAGGAGAGTTTGAGGGTGTGGTTTGTGGGTCTTAAAATTAGGCCATGTGGTGAATGTTTTGACCTTGAAATGAAGGAAAGAGATTGAATGTAAAGAGAGAAACAAGGGGATGAAGTAGGGGTGTTGGACTACTTACAGAGGAGTAGGGCAAGTCAACGACCAAGGGAATAAGAAAGAAGAGTAGGAGGATTGGGGGGGGGGGGGGGGGGGCACTGCCCTCCTCATTAGCTTGTGTGGGTTTGTGGTAGATCCCCTAGACCTCTGGTTTATCCCAAAAGTTTCCTAAAATTCATACAGAGGTCCCCATAAAATTTCGTCGCGATCCAATACTCTAGTCAATTCGAGGTGTAAAATGTATGTTTTGCCCTCCGGGGCCGATTCGTAGATACTCTAGTGTTATACAAGGATGCTAAGATACTCATTTCGCTCTGAATGAATTCATAGATGCTTGTATTTCTTCTAATGTGCGCCCCTTAGTCTCTGGAACCAGCTTTGCAACGAACAGGATGGTTAAGGCACATATGATTGAAAATATGAAAAAGATTCCTGAAAGAAAACATGGATCTGGTAAGTTCCTATACAATACTTGAGAGAGAGAGAGAGAGAGAGAGAGAGAGAGAGATTCATTACCTTCAGAGCTCCATTCCATTAAGAAGTTAAAAGCATATGAAATAATCCAAGTACCAAACCAGTTAACTACTGTCACCAGGCTTCCAGCTTCAGCTTTCACATTCATAGGAAATATCTGAAACAAAAACCATTATATGTACTAAAATACAAATATCTCCGTTACATTTAGAACAACTTGAAAATAGGTCATATAATATGAAGCCCAACTCAGCACCTACCTCCGCCATTATAACCCACGGGACTCCTCCCATGCCTAATGAGAATGATCCTGTAAACACCTGCTTGCAGTATCAAAAACATAAATTTCAAGGTCGATTATATCCATTGACCCATAGAAACTTTTGCTAAATTTAAAGGATAGAAGCAGGTGGTGTATTCTTCTATCAAAATATCCAGTAGTACTAGTTGTTCCAGAGCAGCTATTTTTGCTTGTAGGAGAATGAAACTAATTACAAAGTCCCATCAATTAATAATTGTAGTTCATCTCCTTAGTCCTATAGCCATAAGCAAGGACTGTATGACTATAATAAAGATCACACCGCACCAAAATTGTGAACTGTTAATTACTTGGGTCCAACTATGGCATAGAAAAGTTGTTTTTCAATACCATACTTCCTTTTTTTTTTTACCAACGAGAATGTGATAAATGTAAAATTCTCTTATTTTATTATTTGGCTTTAGTTTATTTCTTTTCATGATCAATCAAAGATTTATAACCACAAATTATTTTTCAGTATGGTACTGAATTTTTTTTCGGTGCAGTAGCCATACCTAACTATAATGGCTAACAAGACCAAGACCCAAGATCCATGCACTTTAGTTTGATTAAGAGGCCATGAAGAAATTAAAAATGCCCAATACAGAAATCTCAAAACTCCAGTTAACAGTTTCTAATGCCACTTTATACAGAAAGGGAAAGGATTCCCAGTTGGTCAAATTGAATTACCAATACACCACCAAGCGCCATAATGGGACTGAAATCCTTCCACAGCTGAAGATCCTGCTCTTGGCAGAATTAGATTCTTTACGAATTAATTAGAACAGACAAACACAAATTCATGAGAGCAATAAATATACATTAGCAGATACCTGTAATAAGAATGACAATCCTATAAGGAAGCAACCCAAGCAGGTTCCAGCTGCAGAAACCTGCAACAGTAGAAGACTTCAATGTGAGTTTAAATGAAACTATATTGCACATTCCAAAAAGACATCTTGCCCTTTGTACCATAAGGAGCGGTCTTCGTCCAGTTTTGTCCATTAAGAGTACACCCAGCAATGTCACTGGAACCTGCAGAAAACCCATAGATGTCTTAGCAATATACAGTGCAACATCCGAAAAACAAAATCAACAGAAGGGAAGTTAAAAACCTTAACAACAACCATCGCTATACTCCCAGTCCCACTCGAAAACCCTGTTATAAGCCAGAGATTCATACTAATTAACTCTCTTTTTTTCGGTTACCATCAGTTGTAGAACTTTACTAAAGTAGGTTTACTTGCCAGTAGACACAAAAATAGCACTTGCATAATAGACAATTGCATTGACTCCTCCAAACTGTTGCAAAACCATAAGTCCAACCCCAACCTGAACCAAATTTAAACTACCCATATAATAATTCAATAAGTGAACAGTGGAAACATGCTTCAAGATTGAATAGAGCCAGACGGCTCACAATGAGTGAGTGAGTGTATTTCCGACTGAACAATTCAAGCATTCTAGAGTCTGATAGCCGTTGAAGGGTTTCTGTATAATCCTGTGAATAAAGAGAATCCTGAGGACTTGGAGAAAGAAAATTAATTCAATGAATCAATATATAAACTCTAACTAGAACTGACTACAAGAAACAGTTACTCCTTATTGAATCAACAAAGTCAAACAGTCACCCTAATTTCTGCTGCTTCTTCAGAGATATTGGCATTATTCCCCCTAAGGCGCTGTAGAGCAGCTTCACAATCATTACCCCGAGTCTTTTTTGCCTGTAGAGAGTTAATTAACCACTATTCAGCTTTTCACCAGCTGCTGGCCTTGTGTTGGCCACTCTGTTAGGGAAATGAGCATTTAGCCATGGAAAAGTTGGCTGTGAAATTTATAACTCAAAGAGTCGAAAGTGTCGTGTGGAAGCCACAATAAAGATTTTTTTTTTTTTTTTTGGGAGGGAGGAAGGGGTCATGAACCTTTGACCTCAAGAAGGCAAACCCTTTACAAGGTAAGGAGTACTATTGGACCAAAGACCCATTGGTTGGAAGCCACAATAAAGAGAAGCAAAGAACCCATTTATTTTAAGCATAATCAAATCACCACTTGAACAACCGGAAACTGTATTTGATTTGGACTCACCAGCCACCTCGGAGACTCTGGGATGATAAATAGACCCAGAAGCTGTAGCATACATGGAATAGTCCCTAATCGGTAGGAAAACAATTCTTATGGAAATGTCAAAATAATTCAGTAACGGTAAGTCAGTACTACAGTACAAGAACCAAAAATTTACCTATTAGAGCCAAGGTGCGCCACGAGATGACAGTTCCTACGAGATACATTACAGATACGCCACAACATGACATCAACTGTAGATCAGGAGCATGTAGCTGCATTATTACCACTCGAAGTTTCACTCTGAACTAATATTGTCCTGCTTTACCTGAATTGCTGCCGCAAATGCTCCTCGAAGATCCTTAGGTGTAATTTCTGCTATGTATACAGGTACCTGTTTGATATTTGAAATGCAAAATTCTCAACGTGTCATACAGATAATCCAGTCTGATATGAAATGCAAAACATACTGCAATTACCACATATGAAAGAAGCCCAATTCCATATCCCAAAGACAATCTTCCAAGGTTGAGCCACCAAGAACCCTATTGTCAGCCATTAAGTCAATTATATTTCAAAAATCTGGAAAAGAGATGCATATTTCTGTAGCAGCAACATTAGCACTAGAACACGACAACAACAAAACCTGTAATGCTGCTACAGTAGGAGAAGGGGTTTAATCCCTTGTTTCAGAAATCTTCGTTACAAAAAGGTCAGTGAGCACAGAGCATGAATTCATAGGTCGCTTTTGATTCATAAAAGGGCATGAAATGTCAAGCATGAATTCAGTTCCTCCGCAATTAAGTGGACTATAAATAAACAAAAATAAAAAAATTAGGGGAAGAAGGTAAGAGAAAGAAAGAAACCTTTGCAAATACAATTGCAAGCCACCCAATGAGACAGAAAATATCCGAGAATCCCATTGTCTGCAGAAATTAGATCATATGAGATAAATTGAAGAATTGGGAAATTGTTATATTTTGTGTTAGGCATGAAGATATCCAAAGTATATTAGAAAAACTTACACCCCTCCGTCCCATGAGATCTGCTATCTTTCCACTCATTACTGCACCAACCATTGCTCCAATGGTCAATATTGATCCAAAAACAGCATACTGTAAAATAATGCCAACAAATAGAATAGGGGGAGGAAAGAAAATTAATTAGAGAATTGCTTGTCTAGAAAAGGAGTAGACAAAATATTATAATAATGGATTCTATGTTTCATGAGGCGGTATATTGCACCATCTACTCTATTAAGATACCTAAAACATATTCAGTCATATATATTTCAAATGCAGAAAACTCATGGTTAAATCACAATGAAAACTTCCCAAACAAAATCCCATCTCCTCATCAACTACTAATAAAAGTGATAGCTCAAATGAAGTGCAAAATTGATTTTCTTCAACATATGTCAGATGACTTTTGTGTTAGTCTATGTGCAATAGGGCAGTCCAACATGGTTTTATCTTTTTACAGTGCTAAATCTTTATCCAGCTCATTAGTTGGGTTTAGCGAAAAAAGCTCAGTAGAAGATTGGCATGTATTAAGTTGATGGAGAAACCTATATTCCAGATCACATTCCTCTGGATTATTGAGATTGGAAAGCTTGGGTGTTAACAAATGATAACTGCACTATTGTTAAGAGGCTAGGTGTGCTAGTTATTTTAGTTGGTAGGCTCCAAAGGTTTCGGAGTTTGTAACTGTGTTTGGATCACATAAAAAAAAATGTGTTTAGAGCTTCCATTTCTTTTAGACTAATAAGAATACAAATTTAGTCAAGTATAAAAGTAGCCAAAAGAGTATTATCTATCTGATCTGGCCATCTATTGCTGTCCATAAAATAAGGACGTCAAAGTTCATAATAGTTGGTAATAAGGCAAGGTTTTCGGATTGCAGCAGGGTTCTTACAGGCAACTTTCCACTACATGATTCCATTATGAAATTTTGTGAAATCCTTTCCTCCCCCAAACAATCAAATACCTCTGCTCTCTTCTATGTTTTCATTTTCTTTTTGATTCGGGGGGAGGTCTAATATGCCCAAACTATTCAACGGCAGCATTATTTTGTTTGACTTATAGTATTCCATTTTGCCCAGTGCAGTTTTTGTCCCCATGATTTTCAGTTGACCTTTCAGTGGATGGAAAGACATACCTTGAGTCCTTGGTTAACATTTTTGAATTTTTGGACAAAAAACGAAGTAATAATCTTGCGACAAGCTCATTTTGACATGGACAAGTATGTACATCAAATTAAAACATTGGACAAACACTAATGGATGGGAAGATTGTTTTATTCCCTTGTTCAGGCCCGAAAATTGGTGACTGGTCTTTCTATTTGAAAACAAATATACTCAACTCGACTCAATTAAGCCTTGTTTGAACTATTTGGGGTCAGCTAATCTTTGAAAACATATATATTCGACATAATACCAACTACTGAAAACCAAAGTACTAGCAACATCGCAATAAAACTGCTAGTCAAAAATAAAACTTAATTTAAGATGAGAGTAACTATTCACAAAAGAAAAAATACATGCACAATTCTAGTGAACTACCCACAAAAGCAGTAAGAACAATGATAGCTAAATGATTTTTTTTCCTTCTTCTTCTAAACAATGTTTGTGATAACGCAATTTCCCTCACAAAGGTGTAATTGCTGCAGAACAGAATTGAGTTTTCACCCTTTGTTTTGTTATAAAGCTGTGTGCGGCCAGTATTAACTCACATTTTGGGAAACATCTTGCTCAATCAAATAATCATAATCCTTTCTGTTTGCTTTATATCTGAAGTATGATCACTAGCTATGCCATTGATGTTATAGCATTTCTCAGACAATCATGACAAGTCATAACCAATATTCTCCAGTGTCAAGCATTCATTATGTCAACATTATGGCACAGCACAGTGCACGGCCTCAAACATCTAAAATAATCCCATCTCTAAAATGGTGTTTAGATTATAATAATAGTATAGAAGTTTAACCCTGACCTCTGCCAAAGAGAGACCAAGATCATCTATGATTCCAGACTGAGCAGGTGATGAATATCCAACCTGCATAACCAATATGTCTCATTAGTTCAGCCCTCACTTGATTAATTATGCTAGAAATTAGGTGCGACAAGTTTAATTTTTGAAGAGAAAAACTCTGCTATGTATTCATAAATTCTCTGCATTACATCCATGACATTTTTGACCAGAAATTGGCATCAAATCAACTGTTGAACTTCTGATTGCCGAAGTTCATAGGATTCTAGCAGAGCACATTCCTGTGAACCACAGAAGCCAACCAACAGAAGGTATAAATCAAGTGCAGCAACAGCTGATCAATTGGAAATGATCAAGGGTTGTATTTTCCCATGGATTACAATCCAAACATGCTTACTGAACATTTCATCCAGTTAGACATAAGACAGAAGTACAAGTCATAGCACCACCTGGAAAAAGTTTTGTGGAATTCTTGGTTGTGTAAAGCTTTCATAAGAGTACTTCTAAGAGGTCAGAGAAAGGTTATATGCATTGAAAGGGCCAGGTTTGGAATTTACTTGGTTAAAAATCGTTGTATTGGGAATTTCACAGTTTGATTACTGATATTCCAGCCAGTAAAGTATCTTGGTTCTAATGCTAAAATAAGGATTAGAAGGTCAATTTGACAAAAAAAAAATAGAAAAAGCAATTTGGGAGTCTGATTGATGGTTGGCAAACAGAATTTCCAAAACTCCACACAACTCAACCACCAAGAACATAGTCCCAAATATCGGGGTTGATTCAATATGATATATCTTTCAGTATAAATTAAGACGCCACAAGCTATTACCTCGGAACTGCACCTTCAATTTATCTAGAATGAACGAATGACATATTTAGCTTGGCTAGGTACAATAGATCGGTTGCTTGGCTAGGTACAATGACACATTTAGCTTGGCTCAGTACAATGATATATTTAGCTTGGCTGAGACACTATGGATGACAATGATATATTTAGCTTGGCTAGGTACAATAGATAGGTTGCTTTCCCCATCCCTTCCTTATGTTTGGGTTTATGATCAAATTACACTTCTTAGTTTCACCAAATATTGCCACAAAGATCATCCTTCTCTTTCTCCCACACCTACAGTTACTTGTTTTGTTGATGGTTAGCTTCAAAAGAATAAGACATCCAATCTCTGATGTAAGAGTAAGAAACAAAATTTTGTATCAGTGAATAGTTTCGGTCACCTAAAACGGAAACGTTTCGACGTATTTCTGAAACGTTTTGAAAATAGAATAAAACAAATAAAAAATTTAAGAATTATTTTTTTTAAACATTGGTCAAAATATACCAAAATATCTTGAAATACCTTAAAATAGTCCAAAATAATTGTGTAAATGCATTAAAATATAATAAAATATTTTGAAACATTATGGAACACCTTGAAGTATTAGAATTTCGATTTCATCATTAATTCATTTCAGTTTACGAAACGTTTTAGATGTTTTGACCGTTTCAAAATGATATTTTGATCTTTGAGCAGGAGAAGAACTAAAAGGGTTTAATTCTTGGGATTCTTATATACGCTTGTAGAAGTCAGTGACGAGCCCAGATCTAGCTGGGCCTGGACCTGATTAGTGGGTTAAGTCCAATTTTAACTCCAATTAGTTAAAAAAGCAGGTCAAGCTCAGCTAATGGCCTCATCCCAGTCCGAAGTTCAAGAAGACCCTGGGGCAACGCATGTGGGGAGTAAACATCGGCATAGCTATTACTCGAAGATAGCACCTATCCTTAATTGTATCTATTCTTAATTGTACCTTTTATTCTGGAGAAGCTAGTACCTCTTCTTCTAGAGAAGCTAGTAGCCTCACCTTCACGCCACCGCCTCAACTGGAGTTTTGTATCTATAAATTGCAAGCCCATTACACATGAGGGACAAGGCGATATTTCACACACATTACACCTTGAGTTTACGCTTTCTCTCTCACCTACTATTTTTTGCCCTCATTAATAAAGTCTTTTGGCTACCGTTGCCAGCTTCAGTAGTTAGGTCACCTCGGCCCAACCACCCAATTTTTGTCTATTATTATTAATTTTTCTGTCAATTGTCTTGCGTCATACACTCTACTGATTTGATTGTACATAACCTATTTTGTACATCATCAGTCAGTATGTTTGTAAATCTCAAAATATGTCTTCAAGGAAACCTCATAATTGTGAGTTGCAGTCCCACACCTCAAACTTGATAAAGTTTTTACTTCTATTTTGAAGGAAATAGTTCCATGCAATGATTAGCGGGGAAGAAATGAATGGTTCTATCGCACTGGTACCAGAAAACATATGGCAACATCAGTAAACTTTATGGACAAGATTATAATAAACTAGTTTAGGAAATCTAGAGTTTGGGTGGTTGGTAATACCAGAGAGCATTTAAGTTTTCTGGACGAAATAGGAGCTTTTCCCAGACCTCGAAAGCTTGAACAAACATTTGAAAACAAATAATTATTTAGCAAACTTATACAAAATTCCTTAGCACTCTCCTATCCTACGATCAAGTTGCCTCACAAATGACGAAATGTCAGATATAACTCTAGAAATAGAAAATATGGACCTCAGAATCTCACCTAGAATTCCTTCTGATTGACTCTTGGAGGTTAAATTGCATCATAAAAAGTTGTATAGAACTCTCGTGATTCAGAAGAATGAGTCTAAATGCTTGAAACAAAATAATGATCCCAAGTTAGACTATGCTTCAATGACCAAGGCTATCGATCACTTTAATGGGTGGTTTTCTCAGCATAGGTAATAACACATTTTTCATAACATTATTATTCCTGAGTGCCTAGTAACTCAAGCTCTAATTCCAATTTCACGGCCCTTGCGGTGAGATTGCTCTCCTGTAACATGGCTATCAAGGGTGTTCCAATACGGGTATGGGTGTAATAATACCTCATCATTCAAGTGATAAGTTCGACTCTCTGTACATGGTTGAGTTCGACCTCACGAGTCGGAAAGGTGCATAGTGGGTGCAATCATCCCTACAAAAAGGTAAAAACAAAAGGAAGCACCCTAAAACTTTTTCCTTCCCTTACACTTTGTAAAAGAACTTTTGTAGTTCAAACAGAGGCATATATTCTACAAGAGCAATTCATTCACTTCAATTTTCTATCGAATATAAAACAGGGAGTCAGACACTGGTTGTTTCAAATAAATATCTCCACAATCACAGAGTACAAATGAGAAAAGCTACACAGTATAAGAAGCGTAGGAGAAGGAAATTTAAATCATGCCTAATCAATCTCAAAAGCAACCTATTCGAATACCATAGGCACCCAATGACCCAACTATTCACTATCATGCAATCAACAGCATTAATTACACAGATCAACCAACAAGTAACGCACACACACTTCCCCGACACACACACACACACACACACATTATATCTATAATATTACAGTTAAAAAATTAAATTCTTAATTTATAAAAACAGTCGAGATTGATATTTTCTTCCTTTTCACTTTAATTTTAAATTAGATAATTAAAAAATTAAAATAAATTACTATTAAAAATATAAATATTGTACCACAGACACAAACATATATATACATGTAGTAGAAACACACTACATATATACTTACAGCAGAGCCAAAAACGTATGAGCCAGACGCAGCGACCAAGGTGCTGAGTACAACAACAGCAGTTGCAGGCGAGGAAAAGTAACTACTCTGTTGCCTCTCACCATCACAGCTAATATCGGGGCTTATTCTGGTAAGTAGGAGACTCGATGTCTGCCCATACTCTGTGCTTTCTCTCTCCATATATAATCCATATATGCGTATATATTGTAATATGTTCTTTTGTTTTTTGAGGATACCGAGTAAAGAAATGAATGAAAGACGAAGAGATGGTATTTGAGCGGTCAAGAAAGATAAAGATCGGAGATGTCATGAGTCAATTTTGTGGAGAAGTGAACAAGAAATTGACGAGAGAGTGTTTAACTCTTTTTGCCTTAGTTTCTTACTGCTGGGATACAGCGGACGGATAAAAATTAATATTCGATCGAAATCGGTTTTGTTTGAATTAGGAAGGTCTATGCTTATCCGACGATAAATGTATATGAAAATAACAGACACTTATCCCTTCCTATTTTATCCGTTATTATTATTATTATTATTTTATTTATATATACGTATTATTGTGAATACAAATCTATATATTATTGAATAATTTTTTCTTTTAAAAATTATTTTATTTTAAATTTTTTTTTATGAGTTTAACTTGTAAAAGTATATATCTAATGGTGTTCGAAATGTTAGCCCAGATCTAGAACTACAGTCAAATGGGCAAGAAAGGGGATAGAGCAAGTATATGGACTAGAAATGGATAAAGTCGTGAGAGAAAAACCAAGACATTGTGTAAATGGTTCACCTTAATTGAAAAACTAAGGTTACGTCTACTATAATAAAGTTTATTGCTCCTTGGAGATGTATATATTGCTTGAAGAAGACGGTTACAGCGGTTTGTTCGACTTAGCACCTTCTTTTAAGAAAATGCTTAGAGAGTACAACCTTATCTATGAAATTAACTGAGTAGACATTGAGGAGGAGGATGATTATGTGTGTTCCATAGGGTAATAGTGTCCTATTTATACAGGTGATCCCTCTAAGGTTTCTTACGACTCCTTCCTCCTTTTTGTTAATTCTGTGAGCCCTTCTACTTTTGTCCTATAATGACCTCTACCATATGACGTCACTACATCCACGGTCTTTGAGCGGTTACGTGCACTAATATTCTTTGTGGTAGAAAGGGCGTGTTCGTTATGGATGTCAGAAGTTGTCTCTCTTCCTTTTGGACACGTGGAGCGACGGGAGCGGTTCAGGATCGACAAGGGACCATGCTCTTTTCTACCTAGCTGACCTCTTGCTGGGCTGGATTAGGGCTAGGCTGAACTTCAAGCCTTTAGGTACTATCAAGCTTCATCCTTTGGGCGTGGTCTATTCTAATCTTGGAGTGGACTGGTTGCGAGTGAGTGGTTTGGGCCACTCTGCGAGTAAAAGCCTTCTGGACCTATTGGGCCTTTGATCAGGGTGCCCCATACCTAAAATCCCATCTTTATCTGTTATCCCCCAAGCTCCAGGTCACAAGGATGACGTCAGCACTGACCTGGGGTTAAAAATATCTTTTCTGAATTTGGCACGGTTTTCCTGAATGACGATTGCGCATGATTGTCGGTGCTGCCCTGGGTTGTGCTAGGTTAACCTGTGTCTGCTATGATGAGACGGTTATGCCTAGAGGGACGCATTTGTCACCTGTAGGGTAGTCTTTTGGTACGATTTCCTTCACACGCTCTGTTCCACGCACCTGACATGAAATAAATGCTATGTATAAAAAAGGGAAAATCTCTTCGCATTTCCTACTTCGTGCTTTTGAATTTTCATCTCTTCATGCTCTCTTTCTTCCTCCGGTTTTTGAGGTGTCTGCTCCAAGCTCTTCGACGATCTAGGGTTTCTTCGTTCCCAGTTCCCCTCTGATTCTAGCGTCTGATTAGGTACATTCTTCTTTCTACCTTCTTTTTGTTCAATCTGGATCCCTTCAACCCTCCTTGGTGGGGTTTTGGGTTTCGTTTCCTAGTTTGGAGGTTTAGCTATTTCAAGAGTCATTCCGGTGATTTCTCTTTCCTTTCACGATTTGTAGACCCTTTTCTATTGTTAAGGCTATCCTTAGTTTGGACTTGATGCTTGAGACCTTTATTCTTGACGGACTGCGTCTTAGACTTATCGTCTCTATATTCTGGTTTGTGATCTGAGCCAGCAATAAGGATAGTTGTTTCTTTTTCTGAATCTGAATTCAAGGAGGAGGTAGACGATGGTGTTGAGGGGGTTTTCGTAACTTCTACTAGCGCCCGTTTTGAGGAGTAGACATCCTCTCCCACCGTTGGTGATGTATCAGCTGGTGGCAATCGATTTTCCCTTTAGTAGAGAATTTAGAGTTTCTTCCCCGGGAGCCTACCGAGGAGACTTCTAGGTCAGCCACTGAGGTTTCGACCTCAGCCCCTTTGGTAGAAGTTCGGGTTCCCTTAGCATTGCACCCCATTCCTTCCAGTCATTCTAAGAAGAGGAAATCTAAGATGGCTCCGCCTTCGGTTCCCAAGAAAAAGATTCGTCATAATTTATCCGACTTGACCTGTTGTGCCGAGTCAAACTCTAGTCACCTTGATAATGAAGATTTGGAGGAGTTAAGGGAGGAATACCATTTTACTGAATCTGTATTATTGCATTCTCTTGAGGAGGAAAAGAGGTGCAACTCCTCTATTCCTATGATAACCTGCTTTTTTGAATCTTCTTTTCGTGTCGACCTCCAATTTTTTGCTCATCCTTTCATCATGGATATTCTTGCTTTTTATAATGTTTGCCTAGCTCGGCTATCTCTAAACAACTAGGGTCTTCTGGTCAGCTTCCTCATCCATTGGTTCAAGAGTGGAAACAACTCTTATCCCATAATTCGAGAATTTGCCTCCCTTTTTCAGCTCAAATCCTCTCCTTCTTTAGGCTTTCTGTACTTTGCCAAGAGGGTAAAGGCAAACAATTTGATTTTTGGGCTTCCATCTTCCTACAACAAATGGAAGCTGAGGTTTTTCTTTGTTAGAGGCAAGTCCTGGGAACTGTCGGGGAAACCTGATGACGTCCCTTGAATTCCTAGGTTTTAGGGGATCCCAAGGAACACCAGTAAGGCCAATTTATTAGCTACGCCTTTCCTTTCATATTCATTTTTACTATTATCTGGCTAACTTTTAACTTGTCTCGTAGGTTTTTTCTTGGCTATTAATGCGGAAGAGGCGGCTAGAGTAGCTAAAGTCGAAGCTTTTAGCTTGCAATCCTTCTCCGATCTTGTGTACGAGCTTGGGCCACCTGTGAGTGTTGACCCTGTGCCGCAACCAGTAGCGTTGCTTACCCCCTAATCTAAATCTATGGATCACGATCTCATTATGGCGGCTTTCTCGAATGCCAAGAAATCGAGAAAAAGGAGGAGGTTAATAAAGAGTTCACAATTGTCGCCCAAAGAGGTGCAAATGTCTAGGCCAACATCTACCACTGTGAAGCAAAAACGTGAGGACCTTGCCTTCCCTTGAAGGTGCTGCCTTGCCTTTCTTGCCCCAGAGCTTCCCAAGAACAAATCTTTACCCGAGGAGTCTTTACCAGCATAGCCCACGGCTGCAACAGCTTCTCATGTTATCCCTCAGTCTGCTCCACAGAAAGCCAATAAGGGGGAATCCATCCCTCCCTAGTCCAAAGCCCAGGGGAGTAGATTCCTTCGCAACCCTAAGGCCATCGTGACTGCTTTGATCGAGCTGGTTCCCACATCAGATCCTATAGTGGCTATGCGAGTTCCTTTCAAGAAGAAGATTCAGCATGCCATTGGGGGTTTGGCTGAGGTATACCATGTCCTTCTTTGCATTTTTCTCCAGTATACTTCTAAGGCATTTTTGTCATTTTCCCGTGCTAAATGATTCCTCTTTTTGTTAGTCGCTTGCTTGTGTGAGAATGATGGACTTCCATCATAAAAGGAAGCTAATGAAGGCCAGGGAATCTACCAATACTGCATTGGTGGGTAAGGAAGCTGCTGAAGGGAAGGCAAGAATTCTAACGACAGAGGTAGCTGAACTAAAGAGAATTTATGACAAGCTGAACAACCGTTATCAGGACCTCACCAAGCTTAAGGATTCCCAGCTGGAAGCCAAAGAAACAGAGCTTAAAGCCAAAGATTTCGAGTTGGCAGCGAAGGATACAAAAGTGTTGTCTTTGAGGGCCAAAGTCTCTAAGCTCCTCAAAGAGAGCACTACTACCTTTGTGAAGGGGTTCATAAATTTTCAGGAGTAAGTTGAGGATGTTTATCCCAACCTCGATCTGGACTCCTTCGTGCCACTCTCAGGTTGAAGAAAATGGCTGAAGTGGCTAAATAGGCCAGTCAGGGAGTGGAGGCTAAAAAGGAAACTGCGACTGAGGTGTTCGGTGCCAAGAAGGAACCTGTGGCTAAGGTGGCTGGGGTCGAGGAGCCTAGTGAAAGAAACAATCACTTAGGAGGTTGGTGGTGGTGGGGAGTTTGTCATTTGAGCCTGGCTTGTTGCTATCTCTTCTTCTTTACATTGTAACTGTAGCTTGATGGCGACCCCTATTTTGTACTATTTTCCTCTCATCAATGATAATGTTACTGATTCTTCTTACTCGTTTTTTATTTTCCATGAATGTGTTGTGATTCACTTTGCTTCTTTTCAGCTCTAATAGATGAAAGTGCTTGCTTTGGGCTATGTTGTCGTAGGATTTATCACCAATTTTGGTGACATTAGGTTGTGATCACCAAGTTGCCCTTGAGGGTAACTCTAATAAGAGCGAAAATGGAGCTGCCCATCTTATTGAACTGACTCCGTCAATTGACTGACCCATTTGTCATGATGACCTTGCCCTTTTTTCGAGATGACTTGACCAAATCTAATGGGGTTATTTTGGACTTTTTTCATTTCTTTTCGTGTACTACAAATTTGATAATTTTGTTCAGTTAGGAACGTGGGTCGTCAAGGATAACAATGGCTCCTGGAAAGTAGCGCCCATTTCCCCCATGACAGCTACGTGCAAAGAGCATCAAATACGATTTATGCGCATTAAAGGCATTCTACGAATGTGATGTTTGCCAGCTAGCAGTCCTTATAAATAGTTCTCTTAGTGAGTGATTTTTTCCACCTTGAATCTCTCCTTTTCTTGCTCTTGCTTCCTGCTCTAAAGTTCCTTTCCTACAACTTAGTTCTTTACTTATCTACATGGCGCGTACACCCCATTTCATCCTTAACACCCAGCGAACGGTATACCTTGACGACGAAAGCAGCGAAATCGGTACTAAAGAGGTTTAGGTGATCACTAATTGCTACACTTTCCCCTATGGGGTAGTCATTCATACTGCAAAGCGCAACTTGTATCACCTCTACATGAGAGATTGGGTCTATTTCTTTGAAGTCCACTTCCTATTGGGGCTACGGTTCCCCATTCCTCCATTTG